TATACCGTCTAGCTGTTATACAAGCTGAACAATTAAGGTCAAGTTCTTGTATGAATAACTTTTGTATTTCACAAGACTATTGTCCACAGAAATTTTCGAAATTATTATTCAGATCAAATGCCATACAAACAGATCCTTAAACACTTCTGACCTGTTTTTATGGGGGTATTTAATCATTAAAATTAAAACCTTCCGAAGTGCTTTCTAAACTCTTGCTCTCTAAGTAGTATTAACATTTGACAAAATTATATTAGCTGTAATAACACCAAGCTGTACAATTGTTAGCTAACTGTTCGATAAGCGATAAGTTTTTTGCATTCTTAAAAAAAAAGCATTAACTTTTATTGCACCGAAGCTATAATAAATACCCTTCGCAAATACAAAAAAACAAATTCTTATGAGAACTTGATTTTGATCGCTCAGTTTGTATAGCAGATATACCTATGCTACACTAACAAATGAGCAGCTTCTTGGAGAGAAAAGGATATGCATAAAATTTCCGATTGAAATCTTAAGCACTGTGGGACTAGCTCGCGTATATACAAACAGACAGACAAACGGACATGACAAAATCGACTCAGTTCGTCATATTGATAATTTATGTATATATTTTACAGGGTCTCCGACGGTTCCTTCTGGGTGTTACTAACTTCGTGGCAAACTTAATGTACCCTGTGTAGGGTATAAAAACAATTATATATATTTTCATATATGGCTTTTCACGGCCAAAACATTTTTCACGCATACATATTTACTTATATATAAATGTAAGCAAAAATGTAGATATTTCCGTGTTATTAAATGTGTTAAAATATATGGATGGCATTTATCAACGAACTGATAACACAACACATGTGAGCAAAATTACGTCGAACGTTAACTAAGCGCGCAAGCCAGTAGGCAAATATTGGCCTGAAGCCGATTGATATTGAATTCGTGAAACATTTTTAAGAATTGCTAAAATGCTAGTACTCTATTTGCGAATAAAGCAGTTAATAGGACGCCACAGAACGGGGCAGAACGCATTGTTTACCATTATATACTCAAAGCTAATTTAAATTTTATATTTTGCTAGCTAAATTTAGTTGTATTTATTTAAATAATTGATTTATGTGTTAAATATGGTTGTAACATGTGAAATTGAGTTTGATAATAATCCCTTCGGCATCTATTTTGCTGGACAAATTATGACGGGTAAAATTACGCTGCAAGCCGACATGCCGAAGCAGGTGAAAGGTGAGCTTTAATGATAACAAAAGTTCATTATTAATGCGAAAGTAAATAATTATGATAAAATTTAAAAGTAAAAATTAAAACTTAATAATACTAAAAATAAAAATCATTGTATTAGTCGCATTCTAACTATTTTCGTGTTTGGGACACATTAGTATTAAATATATACGTCTATTATATTTAGATACATTGTACTGTCTTAAAGTAGACAAGAAAGTGCATACATACATATACAAGGAGTGTTCCAAAGTAAACAGGACTTTTAAAAAAAAAGACAGAAAACATGGTTTTATCGGCAAAATCAATTAATTTTATTCAAAATAGTCTCCTTCTGCTTTAATACAGCTTTTTGCTCGATCCAAAAGCATGTCGAACGAGTGTTTTAGCTCGTTGCCCGTATGGCCGCCAGTATGCCGGTACAAGCCTTTTTAATGGCCTCCACGTCTGCATAATGCTTTCCTTTCATCGGCAAATGCATTTTTCCGAAGAAAAATCGTTCGATAGTTTCCACTGTTTGTTGACCAATGAGCTCTAACTTGGTTGTATTACTTTAACTTGTAAAAAGGTAGAATATAAAATAATAATAAATATTGAATATAATTAGGCTTTAGACACAACTCTCGTTTAGAGATAATGCTATTTCTAATTTTCCCCATAAATAGATAACTGTATACAGCAGGTTATCAAAACTGAAATTAAACTTAAACTATGGTAATGATTCATAAGTCTGGCGAGCATTACTCATCAGATTAAAATGATCAGATGAGTCACTCATATTGTACAATCAAACATGATACAACATTATAAACTAAGTACTGCTTGTGATTGTTTATGAAAATTTGTGTTTTTAGGGATCGTGCTGAAAATTACGGGCGACGCAAACACAAGCTGGGAAGAGCATTCTAACAGATCAACAACCGATGCACATGGACGTTCGAGCACTGAAAGCCATACAACATACTACCGAGGTCACGAGGATTATATAAAATCGAAGACCTACCTGCTTAGCTCCAGCGAAAGTGTGTAGAATTTGTAAAAGCTAATTGACATATGTATACTTACATTATAACCGATTCAAAAATTTCGCCAACAGACCAATCTTCCGTAATTGAGCCCGGCATACATACCTACACTTTTGCCTGCCAATTACCCCCCACCTGTCCTTCATCCTTCGAAGGCCATTATGGTTATATACGATATTTGGTTAAGGTGGAACTCGTGCGACCATGGAAGTTCAATCAGCATTTTACGCGCGGTTTTACGGTACTGAAAGTGATGGATCTGAACTACGACAGTCCTTTATTGCGAGTAAGTAAACTTTTGCACATATTTTCAACAAATTATTGCTTATGATTTAACTAATGCATTATATAATATAAACACGTTCCATAGGTGCCTTGCAAATCGGAAGCACAAAAGGTCTTCTGTTGTTGGCCTTGTAAAACACAGCCATTAAAGATGCACGTTTCCCTGCCACAAAGTGGCTATGTGCCTGGACAAGCGATACCAGTTAGCGTACTCATAGCAAACGAATCGAATATAAAAGTCGAAGAACTCAAAATAGAATTGGTAATGCTCGTTTGCTATTACAGTCAAGTACCATTGACACATACGAAGAATGAACGCATAGCGGTGCTTAAGTTGAAAGGTGATGGCGTGTCGGTGCATTGCAAGAAACAATTCAACTACACACTTGTGGTGCCGGCTACACCGCCTACATGTTTCAATCTATGCCGCATCATACAAATTGCCTATCAAGTGGAGGTTGTGGCCAAAGTGAAAGGTTGGCACGCGGATCAGGTCATCTGTGTGCCAGTGACAATAGGCAATGTGCCGTTGCTCGGCGTCATACAAAATCAGCCATTGGCATCAGCTGAAAACCTTGTCCCTAGCAACAGTATTAATGGTGTTATGAACCATTCGTACGTGGCGGATGAGGAGAGCGGCGATATTGGCGAAAAGAAGTTCACCGAAATTGACCAACTGCAGTCTACCGTACAAGAGAACCCGATACAAGTAAACAGTGGTGCTGCGACAAGTACTGCTACAATGGCAGCTGCACCGCCAAGTCCCTGGGCCGCAGATGCCAGTATACGTGAGTAATTATTTGACAACATCAAACTGTTGATTTATCTTATATACCCCTGAGCCATGATTTCTATAATTTTTAGTACCTCCAACGATACCTTTTTCTTTTGTTTTCGTTTATCTAACGGTAACTTTTGAGAAATATTAACTTTGTACCCAGAACAGGGCATTTGCGCAAAATTTGGCAACAAACATGCCTTTGGCCATAAGTAATTTTTAAAGTGCTAAAAGAGACCCCAATTAGTCACGAACGACGCTAAAAATTGCAAATATTGTGAGGCAGGATATAATACTTGTAGATCCACATACGCATAATAAGATGAAAGAGAACATGGATGTGACACTATTGTGCTAGAATTTTGTTTAATCAAACATGAAGAAAGATTTAGGATAGGGTGAGCTTATGAAATCAGGAATTTCAAGCGGGTATTCTAACGAAAAGGAAGTTTAGTGTCGCGCAGGAAGTAAGTAATGAATATACCAAGTTGACTTTTTCCCTAGCCCGTGCATATAAAGGGATTTTAATGAACGTGTTATAAGCCCGATCTTAGCCCCTCCTTAAACGAGTATGTTTCAAATACATTTTTATTTCACAGCACCGCCGTCTTATGAAGCCGCACTGCATATGAAACCAGCAAAACTTTCCATTGATGAAGGGCAAGAATATGGCGAAACCGAATTTGCACCACGTTATCCTGTCTTCAAGATACCAAGCGCGTCAGGCAGAGACGACGTTGATGCCGAGCCAAAGATTGATGATGTAGCGACTAACGGTGTTGTACCACCGGAAAAGAGTACTTGGCTATGACTTAGAGCGGAAAGTGTGAATAAATAAATAAATACTTATAAATAAACAAGTACAAAAATTTGTTTCTTTTGTTTTCGGACCGACCTTCAATAACTTATCAGCGGCAGTAGCGAACAAAAATCACAAGTGTTATAGAGAGTGAATGAAATTTAAAAAACATATGAGTACATTTTCGATTCCACAACATTTCTACACTGAATATTTTTCATAACAGAATTACGTCGTTCGCTTATCTACAATAAAACCGCAAGTTGGTTTGTTGTTGTATATTTTACTTGTATATCAAACATTTCTAACTGTAAGTGTACATATTGTTGAAAGATCATTTACGCTATTGTTTTATCACAATCTCACACATGCATTTCACTCATTTACATGTGTATATATGCGTGCTTAATGCGAGCTACTTACCCTATGCGCCAACAAGCCAATGGTGCGTTGTCGAATTTTGGCACATTCAGTCCGATTCGGTCGATTGCCTAAGCAAAATGGTCGTAACTTGTGATATTCAATTCAACCAGAATGAGTGCGGTACTTATTTCGCTGGCCAATTGGTGGATGGCTCGGTGGTGCTAGAGGCCGATAAGCCCAAAAATGTTAAAGGTATCGTTATTAACATGAAAATTAAACAACAACAACTAGAAATTAAGAATTAGTAGAGAGCTAAAAAGTGTGGAATTAGGCTTAAATTGCAATGGCATAAGCGATTCTCAAGCAGCAAATTTTGCGAATTAACTTATCAGTCGTTCAGGTTATCTGATTAGTCATTAATGTTGTCTGATTTTTCATTGTAGTTGTGTGCATATACGGTGCCGTGAAATTAATATGCACACACTTTTAATATGTACTAATGCGGCAAAATAATATTTACATTACGTTTGAAGTTTTAAAAAGATCTATAAATTACGGTAAATTGAACTAAAATTTCAATAATTGAAATAAAGTTAGAAACATAACATAAGAAAGCTTAGAATAACGATATCGATTTTAATGACATAACATAACATACCATAACTTAACTTAAAATAACTTAACTTAACTTAACATAGCATAACATAAAATAGCATAAGATAACATAAATTGATATAAGATAACATAACACAACATAACATAACATAACACAACATAACATAACATAACATAACATAACTTAACATAACTTAACATAACTTAACATAACATAACACAACATAAAATAACATAAGGTAGCATAACACAAGATAACATAGCTTAACATAACATAGCATAACATAACATACCATATAACCATCCTATATATCCATAACATAACGTTTTAAGTAAATTAGAATTGGCTTGAGCTAAGGATAACGAAATATTACAATAAAACAGTTCAACCTTCGGTCAATTCAAAAAATATTAAGCTATTAGGTTGGAAGCAGCTCAAAAATGATAATAATGTAGCAAGTTTTTCAACAGTGTTACGTTTCCAATACAATTTCACTGAACAGCAAATAAGTGTACAGGTGGCTTAAGTGCAAATACCAGCTGCCAGACAGCATTCGACTAGCCTTTGGACGTATAAAGTAAAGCGAGGGTTTAGAGTAACATATTTGTATAATTTCTCTTCATCAATTTTTAATCCGATGGTGTTTTGAATTATAGTCATTATAGCATTAGCAAAGAAAATACTGAGCTATTCTTTTAGTTTAAGCATTAATATATAGTAAATATATAGAAAGATGTGTCCAGCTTTTCAAGACATTAAACCTTATATATTTCAGTGAAAAAGTACATTATCATAGCTATTCGAAGCTGGATTAGAAACTTTGTAGGAGAAAATCGTTGAATTATTGCTTAGTACTCAAATCTTAAGGGTTGGTAAAAAAATATTTTGGCCATGACTATTTTGGAACATACAAGTATATATAAATATATAATAATAAAGGTAATTTGCATTTCTCCAATGCCATTGGATTATGATTACTGAAAATTGCTCAGATTTCAAGACTTTTTGATAAAATTTCTTTCAGTTTGCCAGTTATAATTTGTTCATTGCAAAGTACCGTATGTACGAGTTTTAGAAAAATTTAACTTTTATTGAATATTTTTTTAGTATGATTTTTATTACCACTGACACATACATATTTACACAGTTGCTGTATTTGTTTAGTGTTATCTAATGCAGGTATTTGCTGTTATCAAGGAATTAATATTTGCGACCGCAATTATTAGCTTTTATTGATTTCGGCATTTTAGCGCATGCTTTATCATACTAAACTGATATCTCTTGTTCTGGAATTCACCGGGGTTTTTGTTTAAATCGAAAGAATTTATTTACATTGTAGAAATTACACATAATGCGGTCTCATACTGTAAGTCTAAGTAGAACAGATCTTATATGACATACGACGTATTTAAGCATCACTTGCGAATACTTAATTATTCGCATGTCTCAGTTTCATGTGGACCATCCCAAACATACACCTGTTCAACAAGTTTAGCTATACAATTTGATTAACTTTAACCGAACATGTTTTGTTGGAAATGCTTCTGCCCTTTTGAACAGATTTGAAACTTTGAATTCGCCAAAATTCTAACATACACTTCAATATTTTGGCACAATTTTTATTATATTCGAACTATTTTTTACTGTTAAAATCTTTGAATTACTAATATAATTATGTTAATCTCTTCCAGCTGTAATATTGAATATATCCGGATTTGCTATTACAAAATGGCGAGAAAAACGTTTTGGTAGAAGACGAAACTTTTCCGGACGTGAGGATTACATGGAATCCAAAACATATCTAATGGGATCGGAAACAAGTAAGTGTGTGCTAAACGAAAAGTTAATAGCGACCCTTCACCCACTGTATGGTATACCTACTTTTGTCATTCATAGGTCAAAATTTTACAATACAAACCGGTAAGCATACATATAATTTTGCCTGCAAGCTACCAGAGAATTGTCCGACATCATTTGAGGGCCTCCATGGTTGCGTTCGGTATATAGTCAAAGTTACACTACTGATACCTTGGAAATTCAATCAGACTTATACACGCGGCTTCACGGTGATGAAAATGCTCGATCTTAACTATGAATCGCCGCAATTAAAAGTGTGTGCATAACCTATTTGTCACTATATATTGTATATTTACTATTAAAGAAATATTTTTCTAAAATTTTACACAATAGATTCCAATAACTTCAGAGAATTATCGTTCATACTGCTGTGGACCCTGCAAAACGGAGCCGCTAAAAATGCAAATACAATTACCGCAGGCCGGTTATGTGCCCGGACAGCGTATACCCATCAATGCGCTAGTAATCAATAACACCAACATACCAGTTGCCGAAGTGCATTATGCGCTCATAATGTTGGTTCGGTATTCTAGTCCGGCGCCAGCTGTAAACTCATGCCTCGAACGTATTACCATGACGACGGCGAAGAGTGAGTCTGTGCTGCGTAAATGTACGCGATCGCTGACGCAAGAATTACTTGTACCAGCCACACCACCAACCTGCTTGCGGTCATGTAATATTATACGCATTTCCTATCAGTTGGAGGTCGAGGCACGCATGAAGGGTTGGTATTCTAGTCAAACCATTACAATTCCCATTTTTATTGGAAATGTGCCATTGTGGCAAACACCACCAATAATACAACAACAACCACGCAGTAGTCGTATGCCGGCGCTCACTGAGGAAGCGCTCTTACAGGGTGGTGAATCGACCGATAAGGGCGAACAGCAAGCTGTGACAGACGTAGAGGTTGAGCAAAATATTGCAGTAACAGATGTTCAGTTACCAACAGATATTTATCCGGAATTACGTGAGTATAAATTAAATTTCGAAAAATTTGTTGCTGGAGTTTCCCTTTGGCAAGTTGCCAATGATGCAGTTATTGTTAAAACTCCTTATACAGTAAAGTAGGTTAACCCTAGGTTTAAATATAACCGAAGTCGATTTCTATTCAATATTTATTATTCTCAGAAGACAGCTTTCACATATACAATCTTCTCTTCCTTTCTTGATATCACTTAGACATCATTTTCGGTTTCACACATTTATTGTATTAAGTGTTATTTAATCCATAAGCTTATGGCTCTCTCTCAAATTATATATTCTTTTGTTATTAAAATCATTCGGCTTCTATAATGGAGTTGATTTTCCCTCTAAAACTTATTTAGAAAGCAAACTCTAGAATATCAACACAACGTCTAGTTCTTCAATTGAGTCATTGGTTTTAAATCTTAATAAATCGTTTCTTAGTAGCAGTTGCTCGCTTGGGAATACTGAAATAGTACAGAAGTTTCATTATTTGAGGTAACGCTAATATTCCTCATAGAATAATTGAAAATAGTTTATATAAAATTAAGTATTCGTTTTAAGGACATCCAGTCACTTTTTGCACAGAGTGTATAATACGATCCAAGTGTGGAAAATATCCACAATCTACTTAAAGTCCATTTGTGGACTGTGTTCGTCATTCAAAT